CACACTCCCCAGGCCCCCGTCCTCCCCGTCCACTCTCCAGGTTGCCGTTCTCCATCGACTCCAGGCTGTCTCTGGTCCAGGGCACGGGCCTTGAACTTTGCTCCTGCGCCAGTGCCAGGCCCGCCCTCATCCTCTCCCTCTCTCACAGGGCTGGAAGCCTTGCTCTCTCGATGCCCAGCGGCCGCGAGGGACCCTCCTCCAGATTCCCTTCCACCCACCTCTCATTCCATCGTGTCTTCTTCCTATTAATTTTTAATTCAGGCTTTCATTTATTGTTTTTAAGGTGGAAATTGAGAACACTGACTCAAATGTAGGCCTTTAGGGCTGCTTTTCCTTGCTTCACTTGCATCTCATAACTTTTTATTCCACTTGAAATATATTTTTCTTTTTCTAGATCTGCTTTAGTCTTTTTCCAGATATTTGGGGGTTTCCAGGTATCTTCGTATTACTGATTTCTAATACAATTTAAGATGTGAGAACAACTTGTCTGGCTTGGACCCTTACTCATTTATTGAGACTTACTCTGCGGCACAGAACACATTACTTCTTGGTAAGGGGTCCGCGTGGACTGAAAAAGATTCCTGTGCTGTTGCACGCAGTGTCTTACAAGTGTCCACTGGGTCCATAGCGTTGTTCAAGTCTTCTCTAACCTTTGATACTCTGTGTACTCCTGCATCAATCACCGAAAGAGAAATTGGCATCTCTGACTTTAACACACGATTCTATCCATTTCCTTTTCCTGTTATGTTTTGTTTTGTTTTTGTTTTTGAGACAAAGTCTTGCTATGCAGTTTAGACTGACCTTGAACTCACTCTGAAGCCCAGGTTGGCCTTGAACTCGTGGTGATCCTCCTGCCTCAGCCTCTTGAGTGATGTGCACCCCCATGCTGGCTTTCTACCAGTTTCTGCTTCATGAAGTTTGAAACTGTTGTGAGGTGATTGGACATTTAGGGTTATTTTGTTTTCTTGATGAATGGATATCTTTATCATTATGAAATCAGGGCTGGGAATGGTGGTGCATACTTATAATCGCAGTGCTCAGGAAGCTGAAGCAGGAGGATCTCTGTGAGTTTGAGGTCTGCCTGCGCTACATGGTGAGTTCAGGCCAGCCTGAACTGAACTACACAGCGAGACCCTGTCTTAAAAAAAGAAAGAAAGGCAAAAGAAAGTAACCTGTATCTCTGGCAGTATTCTTTGGTTTAAAGTCCATGTAATAGTAATATACCCACTGCACCTCTCTTTCGCTGTAGCATTAATATGACCTGGCTTTTGCTTTTCTCTGTGCCTCTGTATTCACTGTTGCACACAACTGTGTCCTCATCTGGCTTGGTCCCTGTGGGCACTTTAGCAAAATACCACAAGCTGGGTGGATTATAAGGACAGACATTTCTTTCTGCCAGCTCTGGGACTGAGAAGCCCAAGACCAAGGGGCGTCACTGTCTGGTGAGGTCTCACTTTCTGGTTATGGGTGGCAACGTCTGTGGCCTCACTGTTCTGTGTATTTTGTCTGACTTTTAAAAGCTGGTTCCTGAAAGGAGGACAAATGTAATCCCTGTCACTCCATCTTGCCTGGAAGCAGACTCTTTGAAAGGGTCATGAGCAGTGCAGATCCACGGTACAAGGTCCATCATCCAATTAAAACTGCGTTTCAGGAATGGCGTGAGGAAGGGATCATGGGTAATTTTTGTCTTACATGATATGAGCTTTTGTTTCCATTCATGGAACAATTCTTCTTTCCCCATTGAAGTGCACTGATGCTGCTGAAAATCACTTTTCTGAATATGTGTGGGTCTCTATTTTGTTCCATTTTTCTCTATTGTGCAGTATAACATTAATGAATATTAATATTATTATATTAATTACTACTAGTACTTTATGATAACTCTGGATATTATTTCAATATTTTTCAAGATTGTTTTGACTATCCCATACCTTAGACGTCTATATAAATTGTAAGATTCCAATTTCTTTTTTATTTTTGGGCTTTGATTGGAACTGTTAAATTTAAATCATCTTTGCATAAGAAGTCTTTGTTTTTATTCAGTAACCATTATTTCCTCCAAGTGTTCAGCCCTGGGGTTTTAAGAGTGTCAATCAAAGGTGTCGGAATGGCTTTTGTAGAGGGACTGCTGGAGCTGAGACTTAAGAGTGAAGTCAGCGAGACAGAGCGCAGTAAAGCATGAGGGCATGAAAGGTAGTGGCTCGGGAGGAAGAGAAGATCGGCACGGCCTACCTGGGCTCACTACGAGCACGGGGACTAGAGAGAAGTTTCTGAATGCCAGAGAAAGGGCACAGACAGGAAAGGACTAAAGGTGGAAAGGCACAGGTCAGGCTCTTAAAGGCTCATTTGCAACCTTACATGCTTGGATTTTAATGCTTGAAAGAGTGGTCCATGGTCACATTTGCATTGAAGGCAGGTATTTGAGGTATTCGTAAATGCTATGGATGAATGCAAGGGGCATAGGAGAAACAGAGGCAGAAGAGTAAGGAGAAGGCCACAGTGCAAAGTAAAGATCATGCAGGCCGTATCTGAGCGAATGTTTCCGGCAGCATTTAGGATATGAAATTATCAGTGCCAGCATAGAAGGAAGTCTTAGTACATGAATAAATGTACATACCGGGGTCCCTGGAGGAGTGAACGGATGCTCACTGACAGAGGGATCAAATGAGATGTGAGATGCATGACAGAACTGTTTAAGTCGCTTGCATTTATGTTGCACGTTTTCTGTTTTACACCTTCCTATGTGGAGAGAACTCATTCAGGTGTTTTGTTTAAATTCCTGCTTCTCAGATCAACCAAGCTCATTAAAAATAAAAGCAGAGCTGGGGGAGTAGCTCAGTGGTAGAGCATATGTGTACCATGCAGGGGGCCTGGATTTAATCTCTAGCACAGAAAAAAGAGAGATGAACAAATGCATTATGGTAAGGTGAGTACTTTTGGATTAATAGTCTGTAGTTACCACCCTAGAACTATAAAGTACAATGTTAATTCTACAGGTAAGAAAATATATTGTCTTGTTTATGACCACAGACCTAATCACATAACTAAGAGTATTGAATTAAGTGGAACATGAAATAGAGCACAAATTATATTATAGACAGCTAAATTAGGTAGAAATACTATAGGAAGTCAGATAGGGCCTGGCTCTTGAGGGAGTCAGTGCAAAAGATGCAAACACATTACAACTGTGTCCAGAGGTGCATCTGATGAAAACCAGGCCTCAAGATAAAGATGAAATAACCGGGTCTGCATACTCTCCAAGGGATAAGAGGTAAGACCTGGCCTAATAGTCTAAATAGACATCAGTTACCTTAGTGGGTGACAAGACCTCTGGATCTATCCCTTCCTAAAAAAGTTCTTTGTTGTTTTCTTGTACACTTGCTACTTGACTTGCTTCCCCACTGGATCAATATTACCTAATGGACTATACTTGTAATCCTATTGGTTGATCATAATTTTGTCCCACATTGTACCCTCTTTGTGATTTTGTTCTATAAAACTTCCTCTGTGAAGTGGGCAACCCACTCAAGCCCCCTTCTGTCTCTCAGGAAATAAAATCTTTCCCTCTCAATAAATATTTCCTACTCTTAACCTCTGTTGTTCCTTAGAATTCATTCTTCAATTTTGGGGAACATGAACTCAGTGTATCTGACATCTAGCAGGTTGGGCATTATATTATTTCCCCAATAGTATTTGCAAGTCGTATATTGTATAATCAGCAGATAGTGTATCTCCATAAAATTAAAACTGATTTTTCTTTTTCTCTTTTTTTTTTCAACAAACTGGGTCGAATTATGTCACCCAACCAAGACCTGAACTCCTGGCCTCTGAAAGTGAACCAAAATAAACTCTTCTTTTTAAGTTGCTTTTTTTTCAGGTAATTGGTCACAGCAATAGAAAGCTGACCGAAGTAGAAATGGTAGGAAATAATATAGTTTTTGGTTGAAGAAGGTACTTTTAGAGATTACACTGCATATAGTTATAATACTGGGGAATTCAGAGCTGTGAAATAAAGAAACTAGGTTGTCTCTGAGTAGGTTTTAGATCTCTGTTTTTCATACCTAGTCCCAAAAATCCTGAAAATCCTGGCAACCACTCTGAAGTTCATGCCGTTAGTCCAAACCAAATTACTTTCTTCTAATTTTCATTGTAATTTATGTGTGGTTTGGTTATAGGAAAAATAAAACTGTCTCGTTAAAAGGTATTCTGAGCCGGGGATGGTGGCATACATCTGAAATCCCGGCATTCAGGAGGCTGAGGCAAGAAGGTCGCCATAAATTTGAGGCCAGCTTGAGCTATAGCAGCTTGAGCTATAGCAGCCTGAAGTATATAGAGAGGCCTCATCTCAAAAAACAACCACCGCCAAGAAAAATAAATATATTCTGTTTCATTATAGATTTCAGAAGAATAAAACAGAAAGCGAATTTTTGCCACAGAATGATTTTGGAAAGTCAGAACCATAGTATTAGAAAACCAACCAGGGGTACTCTAGGGGTCGACTGGTCTCTTCTTTACCTTCTTACTGTTTTCTGCTTGCTGATTTCCACAGGTCTGGAGGGTGTAACTCCCTATCAGACCGGCTCCAGAAGTCATCTTTCCTGGTACGTCGAGGCCGTCTTTCCAAATTCTAGAGAAGGTGACTGACTTTGGGTCACCGACTGCGACGCCAGCGGACGTTC